TAAAAGGCATAAAGTTAATCATACTGATTTCAAAGTTAAGGATTCATTAGTTTGAATATATATTGAACTAAACACTCTCATAACAATTTAGTTGATGATTCAATATATTTTATTTTTGACAAAACATCCCATGTTTCGGTCGTGACTGCACATGTTGGGTAGTGACAGTAATGTTTTGGTAGCGACACACATCACATTACAGAATTTTAACTCGCATACTAAAACACTACTAAAACATACTAAAATACCAAACATTTGCATAACTGTACTAAAATATTGCTTATTTCCCCCAAATAAAGGATTATGTGTTCAGTTTTGTCACTACCGAAACAATGATGACATGTTTCGGTCGTGACTGTTAGGGTAAAAATAATTTTAGATACTTTTGAGCCTAGCTCAAAGATGCTAATCAGCACATGGTTAGCTAGCACAGTTCGGAATAGTTGAACACAAATAAAAACTAAATGTTATGGAATAACACCCAAAAAAGGTGCACTTAATTGCAGAAAAAAATGTGTTTGGTAGTGATTTTCAGATTTTTTAACACATTTACCTCATAAGAGATGAGACCAATCTACTCACCATATTGCTATGAGAGAGAGTGAAATATGAATATTTTCTGATCATAAATGTAGGGGTGTAGTTAAAATCAGTCTCAGACAATGTACTAAAACATGCATTGTTTCGGTAGTGACATCTTTGAACTTCACTTTTAAAAAAAAATCTGAGACATTTTTAAAAACAATGGAATAAAATGCAAAAATTATTTCAATATCATTTTCATACGTTGAAATTTAGGGGCTAGGGTTCGGGACTGCCACCTCTCAATTGAAAATACCCAATAAATTATGATTTCACATATATTAAGCTTACTGATATCTTAAACATTATTGGGGGTTTCAGTAGATAAAAAAATTATCTTACTAAAAATCTAAGATTTGAATACTGAAATGCTTTTTGTGTTTTTTGGTTGTGGGACAGTAGTTTGCACCAATTCTGTAGAACGGCCCATATATGCATGTGAATGAGTTAAAATAAAACATATATTTAGTTTAAAAAGATAGAGGTTATATATTTATCATTTAATATCAATACACATATTTTTTTTTCATTATTAGGTGTTATGTATCAATGTATTTCAAGATCCTGTAAAGGAAACCAACATAAGAAACCGCTTTGGATAAAAGTGCATTTTAGATGAATAATTTCTAGGATGCATTACCTATACATCCTTGACACAACTAAGAAATGAATAAAGTACGCCATCTATTCACAAAAGGTCTGAGAATGTTCTTCAATGTCCCTGTACATCATCTATGGCCACGAGTCTGTTCAATCATGGGTAAATGACCTCATGAGGCTACTTATCATTCAGTAAGTGTCCTTAATCAAATAAATTAAATTTGTCATTCTAATTTGTCTATTGATTCGACATGCTCACCCCCCAAATCTTTGTCTAACCTTGAAAAGAGACTGTATCCACCAATAATACCCATATGAAGTCTTCAAGTGCCCATTTCCAATGAAAATAAATTGATGAAGAGGTCAGAGGTTGTCTAGAGAAAATGAATCCGGGCTGTAATGAGAAAAAGTGTGTTGAGGAGGATGAATTCATGCTAGAGGTGAAGAAAGACGGTTGCTCTTTAATAGAGATGCCATGTGTGGATTCCATGCTTGGCGTTTGTTTTATAATGTACACAGCTATGCCTTGAGCACTTTGACTGATGTGTGAATCACCCAAGGCAAACATGTATGTGTGCCTTAACATACATATGGCTTAAAAGGAAAATGTATGTTTACTCAAGTTATTCACAAATTTAATTGGAATCATCAATATGACAAGAAAGGCATTTCATGTCAATGTTAACTTTTTTAAAATTAAAGTCAAAATTCTTACAGCTGAAATGCCCACTGGAAATGATTACTGACCAGCAGCAATGTTCGGCTCACCTCAAATCAAAGCCAAACAAATACTACTTGACCTTGGACTTGCTGCAAAGGTCTTGATTTGGTTTCCAGCCAACCAACAAATTCGGAATGCATTCTTAAACAACTCAGAAGTATTAATACTCACACAGACACACCGACATGATCTGCTGCACTCAGGGATGTGTGTGGGACGCCCCTGGGTGTGTGTACACTATGCAACTGCATTGTAGTATCAGTGTCATGAGTGTCTTTAATAAGAAGAGCAGAGGCGTAAAACTGGCAGGCAGCAGGCCAATGATAAGTTTTAATAGGCCACGGTGAAGAACAGCAGTAAGTAATAAGGTCTGATAGAGTGAAGGCGAGAAGGACTGGAGAGAGAGACTAATGCATGGAGTCTCGCACTGTGGCTACACTTGTTCCGCTGTCCTCCGCACTGCCATTCATCATTACTCATTGCCTGCTTTCTTCCTTCGTTCCACCTTTTCCATTCATACACCATCTTTGTCTCTCACCCAGACATGAACTTCTTTCTCCGTTTAATTCATGTCTGAGCTGCACCACTTTCTGTTACTCCTCAGCAGTTCCTTCAAATCTGCACTTCTTTTATCTATTTAATCTGTCTCTCTTCCCCAGCTCTTCCTCTCTCTTTCTCTACTAGACTGTTTCTCTGTTTCCATTTCTCCTTTTTCTGATTCTCTCTCTGTTTGTTGCATGTCCTTACTAGACCTATCCAACCTCTCTCTCTCTCCTCTATTCTGGTGCTGGTTCTGGAGCCAGTTAAATTTAATCGGTACATTTCCACAGAAACATCACAACTGTAGTGCTCCTGAAACCTGCAAACTAGGAAATGATAATGTCTTAAAAAAAACAAAAAAAAACAACTCCATGAGGCAAACAAAACTAGATAGCACAGATTTGTCTTCATTGGAAACGCTTAATGTGGCAATGCAATTGCAAATGCAGTATAGACATGACATTCATTTGTAGGTTATACTGCACAGCGACTCCAGCTGCTTAATTTTTCCATCTAAAAGAAAATATTTTTTAAAATTTGAATATACATGTTTATATATTTATATAACATCATACATTGATTGATGTGAGCAGAATTTTTATTTTTGCTTTATATATTCAACTTATTACGGCTGCATCAAAAGTCATGATGGCATAAAGACACTGAATCAATTTATTTTAGGTTTTTAAAATGTGTTTTTATTACAGGACTTATTCATCCTAATGTAAATTTATAAATATACTACTGTTAATTTATGTTAGCTCATAATACATTAACGTTAATTCACACATCTTCAAAGGTTTAAAATGTATAAGTACTGTAGAAATTAACGTTGATCTAGATTAATAATGTAAATGATAATATAAGTACAAACAATTTCATAATGCAAAAGTGCTACATTGCTACATAAACAAATGCTATATTGATGGGCGATTCAGACAGCAATCAGCCTTCAAAAAACGTTCATCTTTCCTCTCAATACAGACATTACGCAGCGACAGGTCAGGCGAGAGCTCACTGCTGAATGGTCAAGGCAGCTGTACATAAACCCATAAAACACCATTATGTCCAATGCCTGGACAATAACATCCCACACGGGTTGGAATAGTCTTCGCATTGGCTAAAAGTTTTGTCTGTCAATATTTTACCACAAAGGCACTGGCTGGCTGTGTACACAGTGAATGACAAATCTATGTGTCTCAAGATGACACAAAATCCGATGGCACTGTTTGGTTTTTATGTATAAAACCATTATGCTATTTTGAAAAATAAACTTTCGAGGTGGGCTCATTTGTTGTTGAGAGTCTAATGTATATGAAAATATACAGTTTTACAACATAAACGGTGCTGAGATTGCATCATTTTGTGAAGAATGACGATGAAGGATAGAATGCTGAAGAGAATTCTGACAAATGTATGGATAATATATCAGTATTGCATGCATTTATCGATTTTGAGGACAAAAGTGCTATTGGATGTTGTTTAATGGACACTTGACTTTAACAATTTACCCAAGTGTGACAGATTGGATTCATGTCATAATCATCGCTGACATATCAAGTCTTGTTTTGATTCTGCATGTTTACATAAGCACTTCCGACAAAAATTAGTTTATTATTGTTGCTGAAGCATTTCTATCATAAAACAGAGACTGGATACTGACACTAAACCCATAGACCTTTCAAAACATGAATAATTTGTCAACATTCCTAACATTTGGGAGCAGTTGCCTATATAGGTAATCAGGGATTGAAATTAACACCCGCCAACCCGCCAAATGCGGGTAAAAATCAGCTGTGGCGGGTAACACTGTCAAATCACTAGCCAATTTGGCGGGTTACTTTTCGTAAATTATGTTTACTAATTAATTTCTTGAGGAAGTTCATGTAAGCCAAATCTGCACAGATTTAGTGTAAATACTGAACTCGAGACTCATCATGATATATTAAATAAACCTAATTGCGCAGCATCTGTGTAGTGTTTTGGCGAATTTAAGACTTTTTTTTACTTTTCAAACTGAAAAATTTGTAACTGTTAGCTAGTTAAAAAATGAAAAGTCAGAGGTACAATTCAAGAACATGCCAAAAGTCGTCAAGATGAGCTCACAGTAGGTTTTAAAGTCAATCTTTATGTGCCACTGATAATTGTTTACTGTAATCTTTCGCAGTGTTAACACTATAATTTTTATAACACTGAGGCTTTGATAACAAGTTATTTTTAAGTTAACAATTTTATTGTCAATATTTTTAATACATCACAATCATAGTCATTACGTGATCACACATTTAAGGTTTAAACTGAATGAGCTCTTTGTCTTGCAGTAATTATTGCTTTGCTGTAGTAACACTTACTACAGTAATACAGAGGAAATGCTGCTTTTCAATTGGTTTTATGACAGAGGCCTCAAGTAGATATGTATAGAAATGTTCTTTCTTTCTTGTAAAGTATGCAACTATCAAGGAATGAATGTGTCTGTAATCTACGATTCACAACAATAGTGGAACTTGCCTTTAACTGAAGAATTATTTTACATATTTAGGACAAGTGCTTGTGGCAACTGTCTTCTCTGAACAGCAGTCTTGTGAACACCGGCCTCAGTACACTGAAGGTAAGGTATTTCATTTTTAATCTCTTATACAGCAGTAGAGCAGTTTTTGACTCAATCATGTGCTACACTTTATTTACAATTTCAAATAATTTCTTGCGGCTGAAGTATACATGTAGCCACTGTATTTATTTTTATCTTTTTTTCACAGATCTAAGAAAACACTTCACACCCTACAACCCCTAAAAATGTATGTTGCTACCTTAAATGTTTTCAATATTTTTTATTATATTTAATAATAATATTTAAAATAAACCATGTCATTGACTTCTTTATTGACACTTTGACAAACATATTTGTACTGTAATTTTTGAATGTCTTAAACTTGTTTTTCTTTTTTTACTTCTAGAACCCAGATTTGACAGCAGTGCACACCCATCTGAGGCCGACCTGTTTTACTTCATGATCACCCCAGATACTTCTACAACTAACCCGCTTTGTAAGTTCTCATAGCTACACCTTAAAGAAGCACATAATTT